CATCACATTAGTCCTGACTTGAACCAGGAAGTACCATCACATTAGTCCTGACTAGAACCAGGAAGTACCATCACATTAGTCTGGACTAGAACCCGGAAGTACCATCACATTAGTCCTGATTTGAACCAGGAAGTACCATCACATTAGTCCAGACTAGAACCAGGAAGTACCATCACATTAGTCCAGACTAGAACCAGGAAGTACCATCACATTAGTCCTGACTTGAACCAGGAAGTACCATCACATTAGTCCATACTAGAACCAGGAAGTACCATCACATTAGTCCAGACTAGAACCAGGAAGTACCATCACATTAGTCCTGACTTGAACCAGGAAGTACCATCACATTAGTCCTGACTAGAACCAGGAAGTACCATCACATTAGTCTGGACTAGAACCAGGAAGTACCATCACCATTAGTCCTGACTAGAACCAGGAAGTACCATCACATTAGTCCATACTAGAACCAGGAAGTACCATCACATTAGTCCAGACTAGAACCAGGAAGTACCATCACATTAGTCCTGACTTGAACCAGGAAGTACCATCACATTAGTCCTGACTAGAACCAGGAAGTACCATCACATTAGTCTGGACTAGAACCAGGAAGTACCATCACATTAGTCCTGACTAGAACCAGGAAGTACCATCACATTAGTCTGGACAAGAACCAGGAAGTACCATCACATTAGTCCTGACTTGAACCAGGAAGTACCATCACATTAGTCCAGACTAGAACCAGGAAGTACCATCACATTAGTCCTGACTAGAACCAGGAAGTACCATCACATTAGTCTGGACTAGAACCAGGAAGTACCATCACATTAGTCCTGACTAGAACCAGGAAGTACCATCACATTAGTCTGGACTAGAACCAGGAAGTACCATCACATTAGTCTATACTAGAACCAGGAAGTACCATCACATTAGTCCTGATTTGAACCAGGAAGTACCATCACATTAGTCTGGACTAGAACCAGGAAGTTCCATCACATTAGTCCATACTAGAACCAGGAAGTACCATCACATTAGTCCATACTAGAACCAGGAAGTACCATCACATTAGTCCTGACTAGAACCAGGAAGTACCATCACATTAGTCCTGACTAGAACCAGGAAGTACCATCACATTAGTCCTGACTAGAACCCGGAAGTACCATCACATTAGTCCTGATTTGAACCAGGAAGTACCATCACATTAGTCTGGAATAGAACCAGGAAGTACCATCACATTAGTCTGGAGTAGAACTAGGAAGTACCATCACATTAGTCCAGACTAGAACCAGGAAGTACCATCACATTAGTCTGGACTAGAACCAGGAAGTACCATCACATTAGTCCATACTAGAACCAGGAAGTACCATCACATTAGTCCATACTAGAACCAGGAAGTACCATCACATTAGTCCTGACTAGAACCAGGAAGTACCATCACATTAGTCCAGACTAGAACCAGGAAGTACCATCACATTAGTCTGGACTAGAACCAGGAAGTACCATCACATTAGTCCTGACTAGAACCAGGAAGTACCATCACATTAGTCCTGACTTGAACCAGGAAGTACCATCACATTAGTCCATACTAGAACCAGGAAGTACCATCACATTAGTCCAGACTAGAACCAGGAAGTACCATCACATTAGTCCAGACTAGAACCAGGAAGTACCATCACATTAGTCCATACTAGAACCAGGAAGTACCATCACATTAGACCTGACTAGAACCAGGAAGTACCATCACATTAGTCCTGACTAGAACCAGGAAGTACCATCACATTAGTCCAGACTAGAACCAGGAAGTACCATCACATTAGTCCAGACTAGAACCAGGAAGTACCATCACATTAGTCCAGACTAGAACCAGGAAGTACCATCACATTAGTCCATACTAGAACCAGGAAGTACCATCACATTAGTCCAGACTAGAACCAGGAAGTACCATCACATTAGTCTGGACTAGAACCCGGAAGTACCATCACATTAGTCCTGATTTGAACCAGGAAGTACCATCACATTAGTCCAGACTAGAACCAGGAAGTACCATCACATTAGTCCAGACTAGAACCAGGAAGTACCATCACATTAGTCCATACTAGAACCAGGAAGTACCATCACATTAGTCCATACTAGAACCAGGAAGTACCATCACATTAGTCCAGACTAGAACCAGGAAGTACCATCACATTAGTCCAGACTAGAACCAGGAAGTACCATCACATTAGTCCTGACTAGAACCAGGAAGTACCATCACATTAGTCCTGACTAGAACCAGGAAGTACCATCACATTAGTCCATACTTGAACCAGGAAGTACCATCACATTAGTCCATACTAGAACCAGGAAGTACCATCACATTAGTCCAGACTAGAACCAGGAAGTACCATCACACATTAGTCCTGACTTCAACCAGGAAGTACCATCACATTAGTCCTGACTAGAACCAGGAAGTACCATCACATTAGTCTGGACTAGAACCAGGAAGTACCATCACATTAGTCCTGACTAGAACCAGGAAGTACCATCACATTAGTCTGGACAAGAACCAGGAAGTACCATCACATTAGTCCTGACTTGAACCAGGAAGTACCATCACATTAGTCCAGACTAGAACCAGGAAGTACCATCACATTAGACCTGACTAGAACCAGGAAGTACCATCACATTAGTCCTGACTAGAACCAGGAAGTACCATCACATTAGTCTGGACTAGAACCAGGAAGTACCATCACATTAGTCCTGACTAGAACCAGGAAGTACCATCACATTAGTCCTGACTAGAACCAGGAAGTACCATCAAATTAGTCCTGACTAGAACCAGGAAGTACCATCACATTAGTCTGGACTAGAACCAGGAAGTACCATCACATTAGTCCTGACTAGAACCCGGAAGTACCATCACATTAGTCTGGACTAGAACCAGGAAGTACCATCACATTAGTCCAGACTAGAACCAGGAAGTACCATCACATTAGTCCATACTAGAACCAGGAAGTACCATCACATTAGTCCTGACTAGAACCAGGAAGTACCATCACATTAGTCCAGACTAGAACCAGGAAGTACCATCACATTAGTCCTGACTAGAACCCGGAAGTACCATCACATTAGTCCTGATTTGAACCAGGAAGTACCATCACATTAGTCCTGACTAGAACCAGGAAGTACCATCACATTAGTCCTGACTAGAACCAGGAAGTACCATCACATTAGTCCAGACTAGAACCAGGAAGTACCATCACATTAGTCCAGACTAGAACCAGGAAGTACCATCACATTAGTCCAGACTAGAACCAGGAAGTACCATCACATTAGTCCATACTAGAACCAGGAAGTACCATCACATTAGTCCAGACTAGAACCAGGAAGTACCATCACATTAGTCCTGACTAGAACCAGGAAGTACCATCACATTAGTCCTGACTAGAACCAGGAAGTACCATCACATTAGTCTGGACTAGAACCAGGAAGTACCATCACATTAGTCCTGACTAGAACCAGGAAGTACCATCACATTAGTCCAGACTAGAACCAGGAAGTACCATCACATTAGTCCTGACTAGAACCAGGAAGTACCATCACATTAGTCCTGACTAGAACCAGGAAGTACCATCACATTAGTCCAGACTAGAACCAGGAAGTACCATCACATTAGTCCTGACTAGAACCAGGAAGTACCATCACATTAGTCCTGACTTGAACCAGGAAGTACCATCACATTAGTCTGGACTAGAACCAGGAAGTACCATCACATTAGTCCTGACTAGAACCAGGAAGTACCATCACATTAGTCCTGACTAGAACCAGGAAGTACCATCACATTAGTCCAGACTAGAACCAGGAAGTACCATCACATTAGTCCAGACTAGAACCAGGAAGTACCATCACATTAGTCCATACTAGAACCAGGAAGTACCATCACATTAGTCCAGACTAGAACCAGGAAGTACCATCACATTAGTCCTGACTAGAACCAGGAAGTACCATCACATTAGTCTGGACTAGAACCAGGAAGTACCATCACATTAGTCCTGACTAGAACCAGGAAGTACCATCACATTAGTCTGGACTAGAACCAGGAAGTACCATCACATTAGTCCTGACTAGAACCAGGAAGTACCATCACATTAGTCCTGACTAGAACCAGGAAGTACCATCACATTAGTCCAGACTAGAACCAGGAAGTACCATCACATTAGTCCATACTAGAACCAGGAAGTACCATCACATTAGTCCATACTAGAACCAGGAAGTACCATCACATTAGTCCTGACTAGAACCAGGAAGTACCATCACATTAGTCCAGACTAGAACCAGGAAGTACCATCACATTAGTCCATACTAGAACCAGGAAGTACCATCACATTAGTCTATACTAGAACCAGGAAGTACCATCACATTAGACCTGACTAGAACCAGGAAGTACCATCACATTAGTCCAGACTAGAACCAGGAAGTACCATCACATTAGTCCTGACTAGAACCAGGAAGTACCATCACATTAGTCCTGACTAGAACCAGGAAGTACCATCACATTAGTCCAGACTAGAACCAGGAAGTACCATCACATTAGTCCTGACTAGAACCAGGAAGTACCATCACATTAGTCCTGACTTGAACCAGGAAGTACCATCACATTAGTCTGGACTAGAACCAGGAAGTACCATCACATTAGTCCTGGTCTCAGGTCTCTCCACTTGTGGCTCAGAGAAAAGACTTTAAAACAGCTTTTTGTTATAAGTCTCTCCAATTTGAGGAGCACAGGGACTGGCCTCCTGCTGGGACTCTGAGGAGCACAGGGACTGGCCTCCTGCTGGGACTCTGAGGAGCACAGGGACTGGCCTCCTGCTGGGACTCTGAGGAGCACAGGGACTGGAATCCTGCTGGGACTCTGAGGAGCACAGGGACTGGCCTCCTGCTGGTCCCAGAGTCAGGACTAAACATGGTGAGACAGACTTCTTCTCTGACCATAATCTTGCCTTATACCAAATAAACAGGTCAGAATGTTTCTTCTTCTTGGTTCTGTGTGGGGTCAGCTGCAGGTTTGAAGCGGCAGATAAAGAGGAGGTTGGGTGGAGTTTTTTATCTCCAGAGTCAAACAGCTGCTCCCAGACTGCACGGCTCAGATACTGGACCAGACTGCACGGCTCAGATACTGGACCAGACTGCACGGCTCAGATACTGGACCAGACTGCACGGCTCAGATACTGGACCAGACTGCACGGCTCAGATACTGGACCAGACTGGACGGCTCAGATACTGGACCAGACTGGACGGCTCAGATACTGGACCAGACTGGACGGCTCAGATACTGGACCAGACTGCACGGCTCAGATACTGGACCAGACTGCACGGCTCAGATACTGGACCAGACTGGACGGCTCAGATACTGGACCAGACTGGACGGCTCAGATACTGGACCAGACTGCACGGCTCAGATACTGGACCAGACTGCACGGCTCAGATACTGGACCAGACTGGACGGCTCAGATACTGGACCAGACTGCACGGCTCAGATACTGGACCAGACTGCACGGCTCAGATACTGGACCAGACTGGACGGCTCAGATACTGGACCAGACTGGACGGCTCAGATACTGGACCAGACTGCACGGCTCAGATACTGGACCAGACTGCACGGCTCAGATACTGGACCAGACTGCACGGCTCAGATACTGGACCAGACTGCACGGCTCAGATACTGGACCAGACTGCACGGCTCAGATACTGGACCAGACTGCACGGCTCAGATACTGGACCAGACTGCACGGCTCAGATACTGGACCAGACTGGACGGCTCAGATACTGGACCAGACTGCACGGCTCAGATACTGGACCAGACTGGACGGCTCAGATACTGGACCAGACTGCACGGCTCAGATACTGGACCAGACTGCACGGCTCAGATACTGGACCAGACTGCACGGCTCAGATACTGGACCAGACTGCACGGCTCAGATACTGGACCAGACTGCACGGCTCAGATACTGGACCAGACTGCACGGCTCAGATACTGGACCAGACTGCACGGCTCAGATACTGGACCAGACTGCACGGCTCAGATACTGGACCAGACTGCACGGCTCAGATACTGGACCAGACTGCACGGCTCAGATACTGGACCAGACTGCACGGCTCAGATACTGGACCAGACTGCACGGCTCAGATACTGGACCAGACTGCACGGCTCAGATACTGGACCAGACTGCACGGCTCAGATACTGGACCAGACTGGACGGCTCAGATACTGGACCAGACTGGACGGCTCAGATACTGGACCAGACTGGACGGCTCAGATACTGGACCAGACTTTAGCTGCTGCTGCTCATGGCCACTAACATCTGTGTTTTACATCCACAAGGGGGCGCTGGTTCTTGCATTCATCAACAGGAAGGTCAAGTATAACGTTTTGCAGTGTTAGCTTCAGTTCATGAACAGACAAAGGATGCATAGATGCCACTTTTTTTCAAAACCAGCACCTTAAAGACCTTATGCCGGGTTTGATTTATTTAGAAATACAGTTTTAATACCATTTTATATTAGAAGAGAACTACTAAAGGTTTCAAAATCAGTTGTTGTTTTTTTTGTCTGATCCCCCCAAATCGAAATAACCCCATAGCAACGCCCTTAGAAACGAAAAAACTTCACAGCCCTTGGTGACGTCAGAACGGGTACGTTTCAATGCTGTAAGTTGTTTACAATTTGGTATTCGTTCTTTTTTCGCGGATATTCAAGATGACAAGGCCGTGTACAGCAAGTCTCAGATAACTACTAGATGGTAACATTTTGTTGTCACTGAGATAGTCCAGTGGTTGTGTCGATGAACTGTCAATCCAGATACTTGGGTTCAAATCCCACCTCAGACACATTTTCACTCTCAAAACGGCAATTTATGTGTAGTGAGCAATTGTCACCTGTAGAGGGCAGTATTGTGTTGGGCATCAGTGGAGAGAAGAGAGAAAAGGCAGTCCTGTGGCATAGATCCATGGTTTTCAATGCATGGGCGTAACCCGCTGTGACGTCACACACAGGTTAGACCAGGGGTGCTCAATACGTCGATCGCAAAGGTAGTATTGGTAGATCGCATTAAATAAATGAAAAAATTACACATTCTAAACAAATATATACAAAAAACTCCGGGCAAAGTGGAGATTTTTGAAAACTCCGTTAATGCATTTGTGTGTACACAGAGATAACCGGAGTTTTGCGTTCTCGCACGCCAAAGTACCCCCCTAAATTCCTCTGATCACTGAAGCATGGATCATACTACCTTAAAAACTGTTCGCTGTGAGATGCTCGCAGCAGCGAACATCCTCCACATCAGAGAGCAGAAAAGTGATCGCGGGGACTCACGCTCGAAAACAACCAAACCAGGACTAAACCAGGACTAAACCAGGACTAAACCAGGACTAAACCAGGACTAAACCAGGACTAAACCAGGACTAAACCAGGACTAAACCAGGACTAAACCAGGGCTGAGGACGGGGTCAGTGCTTGTAAACATACGTCTTTACTCTGAGTGTCTTCTATGACTGTAAAAGTGCCGTTACCGGCGTCTGCATCAAAGCTCCGCCCACTTCTGTGTTTTTCCCCAACGCAGGACAGGACGTAAGAGACGCACATGTTTGGAATGTTACGTATGTGATTGATAACGCAGATGTGTGGATGCAAATTATTTTATAAACGGAGGAGGGGAAATATTTGGATTTAAAAAAACCAGGCATGGCACATGGACATGGCACCACAGTCAAATGACATCTGTGTTTTACTCAGTAATGTTTTACTGACACTTAGGTGACTGCACATGCGCAAACAACCGCGCTCAGTGCAGGAAAGCTAAACCACGACAAACTTGTCAGCGAGTTACCGCCAATTTTCCGGACTATGCCTCCCTGGCCGATTCAATTCAGTGCAAGTCATCAGAGTAAACTCGGGTAATGACAAAAAATGTACATAGGTAATTGTGTTGTGTTGTGCTATATTGGCTCATGCGGTTTTGCATGTACATAAACATACATTGTAGGTATAAAGAATATTCTTTGAAATAAATATATGATTTGCATATTTGTAGTAGGTAGATCATTTTGACTTGATCCTTTTATAAGTAGCTCGCATGCTGAAAAAGTGTGAGCACCCCTGGGTTAGAGCATAGACAGCTTAAATTCATGAAAAACACGTTCTTTTTATAAAATATAGGATTTTATTGCCGGAATCTATTTCAGATTGACATTGTCATGCAATTTTGATATCCACTTTTTTTTTTTTTTAAACCCGGCATAAGGTCTTTAATTTGAGTACTTGCCGACACCGAATACTGCACTTTGTTATCTCTGGGAATTCAAACTAATACAACTGAAATGCATAATGTTTTATTTCTCATTTCAACAAGAAGACAACACTTTAACAAATAAACATATTAGCAATTGTTTTAACAGTCAACAATAAGAGCCACTGTCATGTTCCACTCATACTAATGCTCCATAGAATTAGCTCCGGTGCTAGCAAAGGTGCTATACTCCGCGCGATGATGAGTTTGATCAAGTTGTTGGAGTTAGTTTTGTCTTTCACAATGTACACTCCTCTTTACTCTTGTCACTCTCATTTATTTAAAAAACTACAACTCGGCCGACATCTGGTTCACTCGGCGCTAGCCCGTTTGCCGCTAGCTTACATTTCTCGCTGCAGACTTTGGCCGATCACCATGGCAACACGTGCCACACAGCTGTCTGCTGTCGTGACGCTAATGTGAATTTAAAATGTGGGTATCGGTTGCCGGAATCGGGTCCTATGGTACGAGTACAAGCCTATGGTATGGACCCAATACCAGAATCGGTGCATCTCTAGTACAGAAGAGTCGAGTCTCATTTCCTCCATGTTTGTAAAGTCTTTGAATAATACGACGGACATGAATCACAATAGATCACAGAATCACTCACGGTCTGTATCGCGGTAAGTTAAGAACCACAATTATATTGAAGTGTGACCAGAGAGGGTCTCTCTCTGGTCTCTCTCTGGTCTCTCTCTGGTCTCTCTCTGGTCTCTCTCTGGTCTCTCTCTGGTCTCTCTCTGGTCTCTCTCTGGTCTCTCTCTGGTCTCTCTCGTTCTATCTCTGCTCTCTATCTGTTCTCTCTCTTTATTAGCTCTCTTTGGTCTCTCTCTCTGGTCTCTCTCTCTGGTCTCTCTCTGATCTCTCTCTCTAGTCTCTCTCTCTGGTCTCTCTCTGGTCTCTCTCTCTGGTCTCTCTCTCTGGTCTCTCTCTCTGGTCTCTCTCTCTGGTCTCTCTCTCTGGTCTCTCTCTGGTCTCTCCCTGGTCTCTCTCTTCGGTCTCTCTCTCCGGTCCCCCTCTCTGGTCCCCCTCTCTGGTCTCTCCCTGGTCTCTCCCCAGTCTCTCTCTCTGGTCCCCCTCTCTGGTCTCTCCCCAGTCTCTCTCTCCGGTCCCCCTCTCTGGTCTCTCTCTCCGGTCCCCCTCTCTGGTCTCTCTCTCTGGTCCCCCTCTCTGGTCTCTCCCCAGTCTCTCTCTCCGGTCCCCCTCTCTGGTCTCTCTCTGGTCTCTCTCTCTGGTCCCCCTCGCTGGTCTCTCTGGTCTCTCCCTGGTCTCTCTCCAGTCCCTCTCTCTGGTCCCCCTCTCTGGTCTCTCCCCAGTCTCTCTCTCCGGTCCCCCTCTCTGGTCTCTCTCTGGTCTCTCTCTCTGGTCCCCCTCTCTGGTCTCTCCCCAGTCTCTCTCTCCGGTCCCCCTCTCTGGTCTCTCTCTGGTCTCTCTCTCTGGTCCCCCTCTCTGGTCTCTCCCCAGTCTCTCTCTCCGGTCCCCCTCTCTGGTCTCTCTCTCTGGTCCCCCTCTCTGGTCTCTCTCTGGTCTCTCTCTCCGGTCCCCCTCTCTGGTCTCTCTCTGGTCTCTCTCTCTGGTCCCCCTCGCTGGTCTCTCTGGTCTCTCCCTGGTCTCTCTCCAGTCCCCCTCTCTGCTCTAATGAAGCATGTACAGCTCGTTAATAAGCATTGCGGCTACTTATATTCTTATGTCTCTCACTCCTGACCTGTCTGTGCGCTGCAACACTGACATTTCCCCGCCGTGGGACGAATAAAGGTTTCTCTTGAATACTCACAGTCCAGGTGCTTCTTCTTGGGCCCGCTGACTTCGTGCGTGGTCGCCTTGCACACCGCTTTGCTGATGGCAGAGCCGGTCATGCTGTGCTGAGCAGCCGCTATACGGTCCGTGATGGATTGGCCCGACATGATTCTGCTTTAATCCGTTCCCAAAGCGTCCAAAACGGCTTTCAAACCACGAAAAATGTAGCTTGGCCCGCGCGTAATACGTGCGTAATTTGGTTTGGCACAGGCGCTCTCCAAAAACGCGCGCGTGCTATTGAGAAATCTATGCAATGTCAAGTGAAAAAATGTGTTAAAATTGCAGTTGGAGTCTAAACAATTCAATAATCTAGCTAGGAAACTAAACTACAACGAGCTAGTCTGTGTTAGCTACAAAAGCAAATGGACAAACTGCAACACCGTGTCTCAAAATCAATAATATTCTGATTATAAAGAGTAAATTTGACGTTTTGGCTGCAATTTATCATCGCTATTGGACTGCGTTGGAACCTCTGAAGCCTCACGGTGAAGGGGATAAGTGTCCACAAAAGATATATGGAAGTAATCTCAAAAACGCGGTTGCAAAATAGTTGTTGAAGTTACGTCAAAGAATTCACCAACAACGCGATAAAAAACACTTGTAAAAAGTTGTTAAAAATTGATAAACGCATTGTTCGAAAAGTTTATAAATGTTTAGAGGCGATGACAGCCGGGGTTTGTTGAGTTTATGCCCCGGAAATGGGACGCAAAGTCTGGGTTAGCACAGCGGCTAGCCTCGGCAGGAGAGCTCCACTGACAGCGGCGAGACCTGAGGCACCGTGGCCGAAAAGCGAAGTCTTCAGACGGGGTAAGTTCAGCCAGACAGGTGCCCCCTCCCTTCGCTTTCCCCCCGGGTGTTCTGTGGTAGAAGGCAGCGGGGGTTTGTCACAGCCCTGCCCGGGTTGAGGAGCTGTGAGAGCGGGAGCAGGAGGTGTCCTGGGGTCCCCGGGAGGTGGTGTGAGTGCAGCCGGAGAAGGAGCGCTTGAGTCGGGGTGAGTGGGGCGCGTGCTGCCGCCTCTGCTGGAGCTCCCACAAAATGGCAGCGTGTGGAAATCAGCTGATCTCACAACTGTGCGGCTTCACGGACCGTGGGAGAGAGCGAGGACGTGTGTAATAAGCACGGAGTAGACAGTAAATAATCTCTGGTTTGTGGTAATAACGTCGGAATTATGGGATATATCACATTTAAAGGATTATTTTTTATTGTACATAATTT